AAGTCATTATTATCATTATTAAAGTATTAGTATTTTTTTTATTATTAGTCAAATATGTTACCCTGCCCCAATCTGTCTATTTGATTGAAGAGTGAAGTGTGTCTTCTTTGTTGCTACCACTGGAGGGCGCTAACTTAAACTGTAAAATGGTTGAAAGGAATGAGTAGAGGGTCGCTTTATGTTTATAAGTCTACATCATGAAAGAGTCTATAAACCTGATATCTTTCATTTCATGAAAAAACAGACAAACATCTTTTTAATTCATAAATTATTACTGGGTTTCTATTTTGTACCACTGTGCTTTTGAGAACAACAGTTTATATTCACAGTGTTCCAATGAAAAGAAGAGACATTGAGTAAAGTTGAGGTGATGTGTGACTAAATGCCCTTCAACCTGCTGCATCAGAGTAACACTACAGCAACCAACAACAATAGCATGTTGTTTGAATGTTACATCTGAAATGTTCAACTTGTTGAATGTCTGACAATTTGTTTTACGGATGAGGATAAAACTGACTGCAAAGAATTTTCATTATGGCCTTTACTCTTGCAGCACTTCCAATAAACAAGCAAAGCAGTTTTACTTCACACAAGTTTCAGGTTATATAATTTACATATTAAGCAATACTACAGGTCTGTTGGGCAGTGGGCCCACCAGAGAATAAACCTTCATAGAGGCAAATAAGGTGGTGAACAAACACATCTGGAATGACCTACACAAACACAGGCTTAAATGCCATAAAGAGATAAGCAGAAACTACTAATAAGGATGTCTCAGATATGTGGCAATGGTTTGATACTATTGACAACAACACAGAGTTCAGACCAGGAGGCAGAGCTGCAGTCTTACACGCTTCTCTGCGCCTCCCTTAGATCTGTCTCCCAGTCACTATAGCTGTAATTCTGAATCGAACTGTAGTTATACTATAGGTACTGTGTCTGTCCCCCGGCCCAGACCCGTTTTCCAAGTCATCCAAACGTAGAAAAAAAAGGCGTAAATTGTCAAAATCTCATTAGAATCAAAACTATGAATACGATTTTGTTAAAAAATCAGAAAATTCATTGCGGACTTTTGATCATTAGGTCCTTAGCATCCAAATCTCTTTTAGTGAATGATCTGATTTCAGATCAGCATATTGATTTACTTTTTTTGACTGAAACCTGGCTGTGTCGAGATGAATATGTTAGTTTGAATGAATCCACTCCTCCCAGTCATTTTAATACTCATATACCTCGAGACACCGGACGAGGTGGTGGAGTAGCAGCTATTTTGAATTCTAGTCTTCTAGTTAACCCTCGACCAAAGCTGAATTTTTCTTCTTTTGAAAGCCTTGTTCTTAGTCTTTCACATCCAGTTTCAAGAACCTTTCAGCCAGTTCTAGTTGTTGTAGTTTACCGCCCTCCTGGCCCATATTCTGAGTTTCTATCTGAATTTGCAGAATTTTTATCAGATTTAGTCCTTAGCAGTGATAGAATAATTGTTGTAGGTGACTTCAATATCCATGTGGATGTTGATAATGATAGCCTTAGCACAGCTTTCTTGTCACTATTAGACTCTATTAGACTTTACACCCAGGGTGTAAACGAACCTACTCATCGTTTTAACCACACCCTGGATCTTGTTTTAGCTTATGGCATTGAAATCCAAAACCTTACAGTTTCCCTAAAAAAATCTTCTTCTATCAGACCATTTCCTTATTACTTTCAACTTTGTCCTACCAGAATTATCTCTGCATAATAAAAATGTGCTCTCTAGAAGTTTAGCGCTAGAAGGTGCTGTAGCTAGATTTAAGGAAGCTATTTCAGCTGCTTTTGATTCAGTACCGTGTTTCAACCCAGTTGGAAACTCTTATGATAGCTTTAGTCCCTCTCAGCTAGATCAGTTTGTTGATAGTGCAGTGGATTCACTGAGAGTTACTCTTGATTCGATTGCTTCCCTAAAACAAAAGGTTATCAAACGGCAGAGAATAGCGCCAAGGTTCAACTCAGAAACCCGTACTCTAAAACAATCGTCGCGAAATTTTGAAAGAATATGGCGCTCGACCAAAACGGTAGAATCTCGTTTATTCTGGCAGGATAGTCATAGAAAATATATGAAGGCTCTACATCACGCTCGAGCTGCCTACTACTCCTCTCTAATCGAGGAAAACAAAGGCAATCCTAGATACCTTTTCAGCACTGTAGCCAGGCTGACGGAGAGTCATGGCTCCATTGAGCCTTGTATTCCTTTAGCCCTCAGCAGTAATGATTTCCTGAGCTTTTTCAACAACACAATTCTAGACATCAGAGACAAAATTAGTAACCTCCTGCCCTTACCTTATTGGTAAGTCTCTAAAGACTCTTCAACTAGTCCAGAACGCTGCAGCTCGTGTACTGACTATAAGATTTATCAAAAAGGAAAGTTTTAAGTCTATTCTTAAAAATACAGACTGTGTCTGCCTCCTGGACCCCGGCTGGAAGGCGGTTCCAGAGGAGAGGAGCCTGATAACCGAAGGCTTTACCTCCCATAGTACACTTAGAGACTGTAGGTACCACTAGCAGGCCTGCATTCTGGGACCGTAATGTGCTCGAGGGGCAGTACGGCACTAGTAGCTCCTTAAGATAAGATGGTGCCTGGCCAGTTAGAGCTTTGTAAGTGAGAAGAAGGATCTTGAATTCTATTCTAGACTGTATAGGGAGCCAGTACAGAGAAGCCAACACAGGAGTAATGTGCTCCCTTTTCCTAGTTCTAGTTAGGGCTGGTGCTGGTGTAGACCAGCTCTTAGTTATGCTGCTACAGGCTTAGACTACCGGGGGAACTGGCACCTTGAGCTCCTCTCTCTCTCTCTCTCTCTCTCTCTCTCTCTCTCTCTCTCTCTCTCTCTCTCTCTCTCTCTCTCTCTCTCTCTGTGCATATACAGTACATCATATTACTGCATGTATCTATTTGTAAATCTCAGTCACTAACCACCTACTTTCCTGGGAGCTCTTGAGCTCTCTTAGGCTCCTCGAGATCGTTGGTTGACGGCCTGCCAGAACTGTTTCATCATGAGCTGGGGATTTCTGCCTTTTAATAAGGCAGTTTTTTCTTACCACTGTAACTTTTGCTGCTTTGCTAAAAGTGCTCATGATGGATAGGCCGGATCTTTGTAACATAGCAATAAGTAAGGTCTTTTACCTGCTTTTTGTAGCATAACAATGAGTAAGGTCTTTTCACCTGCTCTTTTGTAATGTTAACAGACAAAGAGTAAGGTATTTTACCTGCTTTTTTTTAAGTGTCTCGAGATAACACTTGTTATGAGTTGACGCTATACAAATAAAAATTGATTGATTGATTGATAAGTTGTCTCAAGGTTGTTCAATAAATTCATAAACTCTTTGAGAAATGTTATCTTTGACCATCCTTTTCCCCATTGCCCATATCAGTAACTTATGCAGCCTAATGCGGAGATGTACATTATAATCAGAGATTTTTATTCTAAAAAGAAACTGAACCTTGGATGTAATACATCTTTTTTCAATGACAAAGCTGAATTCTACTGTTTTTGTTTTGTTTTGTTACCTGTAGATTTGAGCAAACTCTGTTAAAAACAGTTACAGCTGGGGAGATAAAGTTCAGTCAGGAAATATGTTCGTGCCGCTTGTGTTTAGTGTTTGATATCACACTATCATAATAACGTTTGTCTGATAATGTTCTCCTCTGATTTGAACCTTCAGGTTTTATTTATTGAACTGGAACATTTCCAACTCTTCAGGAGGAGAGTCTTGACTTGAGTGGACGTTTGCTCCAAAGGTGGTTTGATCCAGGCACACTGCAGATACAGGACATGACATATATGTGCCTATTTATATAATCTTAACATTCATTACTTACTGGCAGAGGCTGATGCTTCCTGTTATGTTTCTCATCAGCTGTGTCCAATATAAATCCAAATATTAATATAATTTTGTTTAGCCTTCATGGTTTTCAAGTATGAGTAAGAATGAGGTCAAATTTATCCAAATTGGTCCAACTGTTGCTCTAACTGGTTGCATGAGTGTTAGCAATAACTGTGAACAACATTAATAACAAGAATTAAAATAATAATGCTGAATGCTATGTGAAAAATGACCTGAAGATGTATCATTTGAAAGAATAATTTCAAGCTGCAGATCTTTTGGTATATCTGGCGATTGCAGGCATTACAAATAATACTAAAGAAATAGTCATTGATGGTCTTGTTTGCTTTTCTGGGTCATAAAGAGGCTTCAGGATTCATTTCAGTCTGTTTCATAACCTTTTTAAAAACATCTCACAGGAGCTTTAATATGATTATTTTGTCAACATTATCTCAACTCATATTTCATGGTAATTTGTACAGGGTTCATAGGGATTTATTCAACAGAATGTGATTTTTCACTGAAAATCCAAAAGATAATTTTTAAATAAAAAGCTTGGTCATGGTTTCATTTTTTTCTAGACATGTTCTTTGCTGAAATTGTCTGAGGCTGTGTTTATCATGAAATTCCTGAAATTAACACAATCAAAGTGATTTAACCACGTCTATGTCATGGAAGACTACTAAACCCATTCTTCTTTTCTGGGCCGGGACATGTACTTTAGCACAGTGCCGCCCTCTGAGGAGTGGCTAATAATTAAAACATCCAGATGAGGACACCTCAGATCTAAACAGCCAAGGTTTTAATGCGAGTGGTGAGCCATCCACTCACAGTCGTGATTGACTTTTTTCCCCCTGTGTTGACATTTAATCCTTAAATTTTATTCCAATGGCTCCAAACTTCAAACTCTTCTCACTCATTTGGCTAGTTGCAGCCTGTCTTGGTAAGTAAGCCCTTAAGATTTTATTTAAACTTAAATGCTAAATTATTTCAAATCTAGATTTGTTAGATGCAAATCTCTGAAAAGGAAATTGTACAGGTGATTAGAAGTTGGGGGGTGGTGTGTTTTTTAAAATTAGATACTATATTGATCCCGAGGGAAATTCAAAGGGAAATTCAAAGCATCTAGTAGAAGGTACAAGACGTACATGACATGAAACATTTTTTACAAGGAGCTACTGGATATGCGGCCACTCGCGTCGGCGCCGGAAGTTATAATATTGTTATATAATATATAATATAGTTTAAAATCAAGATAACAATTAATTATTCAAGTAATTCCTGCCAGCCATTTTTACCTGACAGTTTGGTTTGGTGCACACACAACCAAATGTGAATAACTACAGTACCTTATTGTTGCAGATAATTTAAATTACCTTATGACCATTTTTGCTAACCTACCTTTCTTTCTAAGTCTGTTGCAGTCAGGGAAGTCTCCCTCTCTTCCCCGTAACACCTCTTGTCTGGTTAATGCTTTACTTAAAGTCCTAAATGAGCTCAGGGACACTGTTACAGGAAGGGTGAGGGACCTGTTTTTTGTTTCCAGGCTCATGAATAGGCAAAAAGCATGTAATCTGGATACTTTAAAAGGTCGTACACACACAAGTGTGTTTTAGTTTTAATGAATTGTTGGACAATTTTCTCAAACAATAATTTAACCTGAATTTGGAAATTATTAATCTCCAACCTGTTTTCGCATGATTTACTGGATTGAGACAGTCCGATCATGAGCTTAATGACTTCCAAATCTTGATTTTTACCTCAGTATAAATATGTATATGTGCCAATTATTGGGTTTAAAAAAACCAAAAAAATGAAGATCAGTGTGTTAATTCTTTCAATGCATAGTCTCAGCTTTATTGAATGCAACACTGGATTGTCCCATTACCTCCTGTTGGTGCTAGAAGGCTGCAACGTATTAAAGGAGAAACTTTGATAACAATGAAACCAGTGGATCTGTTATTCGGGCTATATGTAGGAGTAAAACATAAAATTCCACTATTCTCAGCTTTAAACACAGTGAACAGTCTGTTTTTTTCCCCACAAATTGTATATAAAATATGGCAGGGGTTAAGCCCCCCCAGGATCTGCCCTTTGTTAGGCTGTACAAAATTGTACCTTGGCTTCTGTCAATAATTTAGGATGAGGCTAAACTTTCATTGTTCGTTTTCAAACTGATACATCAGTATAATTTCTTCCTCTCATCTATGATGTCTTATAAATTGCATTGCCAATGCAAGAAAAATCTGTTAAATATGTTATTTTAGTGCAGTAGTAATTTCCTTCTGTTTAATTTGTCAGTATGTCACATTCAGCAGTGGATGAAAAAACTATTGGCAGGTTATTAATGATCAGTGCTACAATTTGTTGCTCTAGCCATCCTTTCCTCAAGCAACAACTGAAGCTGATGTGTGTCCATCCACAGCACCTCAAGCAACATCAGCCACTGATGGTACAACAGTCCCAACACCTCAAGAACCAACGGCAGGTCCAGGTGGTTCATCGGCAACGCCTCAAGAAACAACGGCAGCTCCAGGTGGTCCATCGGCAACGCCTCAAGAAACAACGGCAGCTCCAGGTGGTCCGTCGACAGCGCCTAAAGAAACAACGGCAGCTCCAGGTGGTCCGTCGACAGCGTCTAAAGAAACAACGGCAGCTCCAGGTGGTCCGTCGACAGCGTCTAAAGAAACAACGGCAGCTCCAGGTGGTCCATTGACAACGCCTCAAGAAACAACGGCAGGTTTAGGTGGTCCATCGACAGCGCCTAAAGGAACAACGGCAGCTCCAGGTGGTCCGTCGACAGCGCCTGAAGAAACAACGGCAGCTCCAGGTGGTCCATCGACAGCGCCTGAAGAAACAACGGCAGCTCCAGGTGGTCCGTCGACAGCGCCTAAAGAAACTACGGCAGCTCCAGGTGGTCCGTCGACAGCGCCTAAAGAAACAACGGCAGCTCCAGGTGGTCCGTCGACAGCGTCTAAAGAAACAACGGCAGCTCCAGGTGGTCCATCGACAGCGCCTCAAGAAACAACTGCAGGTCCAGGTGGTCCATCGGCAACGCCTCAAGAAACAACGGCAGGTCCAGGTGGTCCATCGACAGCGCCTAAAGAAACAACGGCAGCTCCAGGTGGTCCATCGACAGCGCCTCAAAAACAACGGCAGGTCCAGGTGGTCCATCGGCAACACCTCAAGAAACAACAGCAGCTCCAGGTGGTCCATCGGCAACACCTCAAGAAACAACGGCAGCTCCAGGTGGTCCATCGACATCGCCTGAAGAAACAACGGCAGTTCCAGGTGGTCCATCGACAGCGCCTGAAGAAACAACGGCAGCTCCAGGTGATCCGTCGACAGCGCCTAAAGAAACAACGGCAGCTCCAGGTGATCCGTCGACAGCGCCTAAAGAAACAACGGCAGCTCCAGGTGGTCCATCGACAGCGCCTAAAGAAACAACGGCAGCTCCAGGTGGTCCATCGACAGCGCCTAAAGAAACAACGGCAGCTCCAGGTGGTCCATCGACAGCGCCTAAAGAAACAACGGCAGCTCCAGGTGGTCCATCGACAGCGCCTAAAGTAACAACGGCAGCTCCAGGTGGTCCATCGACAGCGCCTAAAGAAACAACGGCAGCTCCAGGTGGTCCATCGACAGCGCCTCAAGAAACAACGGCAGCGCCAGGTGGTCCATCGGCAACGCCTCAAGAAACAACGGCAGGTCCAGCTGGTACATCGGCAACGCCTCAAGAAACAACGGCAGCTCCAGGTGATCCGTCGACAGCGCCTAAAGAAACAACGGCAGCTCCAGGTGATCCGTCGACAGCGCCTAAAGAAACAACGGCAGCTCCAGGTGGTCCATCGACAGCGCCTAAAGAAACAACGGCAGCTCCAGGTGGTCCATCGACAGCGCCTAAAGAAACAACGGCAGCTCCAGGTGGTCCATCGACAGCGCCTAAAGAAACAACGGCAGCTCCAGGTGGTCCATCGACAGCGCCTAAAGTAACAACGGCAGCTCCAGGTGGTCCATCGACAGCCTAAAGAAACAACGGCAGCTCCAGGTGGTCCATCGACAGCGCCTCAAGAAACAACGGCAGCGCCAGGTGGTCCATCGGCAACGCCTCAAGAAACAACGGCAGGTCCAGCTGGTACATCGGCAACGCCTCAAGAAACAACGGCAGTCCAGCTGGTCCATCGACAGCGCCTAAAGAAACAACGGCAGCTCCAGGTGGTCCATCGACAGCGCCTAAAGTAACAACGGCAGCTCCAGGTGGTCCATCGACAGCGCCTCAAGTAACACCAGATGGTCCATCCACAAAACAACCATCAACACCAGCTCCAACAAAACCAGTTCTAGGTATATTTTCCATAGTCAAAAAACTGAAAAGTTTGGTTTCCAAGGTGTCATTATTTTATGTTCTTATATAGCACTGCAGATACTTATTGTTATCTGTATTTTTTCCCCTTTGCCTTCAAAGACCCTTGTGAGTCAAACCCATGCGGCGGTGGTAGCACCTGTGTACCTCGTTTCAATCAAATGTTTGAATGCCTGTGTTTGCCTGGTAGCGTCTACAATAATGACAGCAACACTTGTGAGAGTGGTAAGTTTTTTATTTTTTTAAAGAACACTTAATACAAAACCAAAGTGTATGTATCTTTGGGATATTAGAATATTTGGACAAACAGGAGAAGTGATTTCTCGTATGTCCCCAGCAGTCATTTTGATGGAAGCTTATTTATGTGAACCTGTTGGTATCAGAATGTACAAAATTGAAGCAACTTTAGAGGACCTGTGCTACATCAGTCAATATCTTCAATACTGATGGTTATGCAAAATGTTTGGCAGTATCAAAAATTATAATTAAGGAAGATGTTAGACACAATTTTTCTGGTACATCTTCAAAGCCCAAGATAGGAGACAGTTAGCCCAGTTTAGAATACGATGATAGTTTAGGTGTGCTCAACTATTGTGTTTACAATTTTATTTTACACTGTTACAGGTTTGGTAAAATAAAGTGCAATATCTTTGGTGATAACACTCCAGTGAGATGTCTTCATGTAATTGAAGGGGTTTTTGAGGCTTAGTGCAAGATAGCATACCCCCTTGTTGGAGTCTAGACTGGTGTTGGTGCTGGTGCACTAAGACTGAAAAGAAAAACAACCAGCCTGCCTCTGTTAGAGGTCAGAAAATTACAACCATAATGCTAGGCTAACTTGCTGCTAGTTCTTTCCATATATTAATAGGACAGACATGAGTGGATTCTTCTCATCTACCTATCAGCAAAAAAAAAAGTGATCAAATGTATTTCCAAGTTGTTGTATATCCTTTCAAAAATGAATCTGACTATACTTCTTCCGACTATATTTCCTGTTTTAGCCAAGGTTTTCCCTGGACAACTGACCCTGGCAAAAGAGTACAATCCAAACCTTGCAGACCCCACATCAGAAGATTTTCTGAGTGTGTCTAAAGACGTTGTTACAGAGGTTGGCAATTATTTCACTCCTCTTTAATCCACTGTGTGTTTACAAGTGCAACCACTACAGTATAACAATGCTTGTGTATCATACTTATCTGACATAGGTAGTAAACCTGATTTGTGTTGTAATAAATGTACTATGTTGCTGCACAATATCTATGAAAGTAATTTCATTCAAGTGAGCCTGAACACAATTATGTTTTCTTTCCAAAACACAGCTGGACGATGTTTTTAAGTCAACTCCTGGCTACTCTAAATCTATAGTGCTAAAACTGAAGTAAGTGACTGATGATGGTTTTTTATACCATCTGGCTGTCTCTCCACCCAGAACAATACTTCTTGCATTACACTTAATTCCAAAGAACCTAAAAATTACAGAATATGATAATCATTACCTGTATTCTTTTCCATAAAGGCCTGCAAATAGTGTCAGAGTGTGGTTCAGGGCGACGCCAGGTATCTTGGCTGAAGTAGAAAACATCTTTGAGCCAGCAGCTACCATTGAAACTAAAATAGTTACAGAGACATTGAAAAAGGCGATTACAGAGTCAACTGAAGGTTCTCTCCTGAATGGGGCAGATTTTAAAGGTAAGTTTTTTACTCATATTCAGGTAGTAAGTCTGGGCCTTTTGCTTGATGCTGGGAGTTATCTATGAAAAATTCAAGCAAGACATAGATTTTCTTTAAGAAAGACACAAATGAATAGTTTTGATGTGTTGTTGCAGTATAGTCTGAAATAAATGAACATTGACCCATATCAATTATCAAACTAATTATGAGGCGGGGGGCATTTTACATTGTTTTAACATTGTCAAGATATTTACTGTTTTTTAAATCAGTATTTCTGCTAATAAATGCATTAAAGTTTTTGTTGTGTGCGGATTGTATGCCTTATTTGCGTTAGATACTGTATGTTAATCTTCTTATTTTCCTGCATTTAAAGAGGATGACCTGTGTAATTCAAAACCTTGTGATGTGAAAACCACAAATTGCACTGGCAAGGATGGATCTTTTGGCTGTTCATGCAGGGACGGCTACGTTAAGACGAGCTACAGCGACAGAGTATGCGTTGGTAAGGAGGGCATTAGTGAGTGGAAGTGAGACAGAGAGAGAAAGAATGTGTCTGTGTGTCAGTGAGTGTGTGTGTCCCAGAATGTAACAACCTTCCTTGGACTAAACTACAAACTATCTCCACTTTTTCTACTTTTGCAGCTTGTCCCAGTGGGCAACAAGCTGGGACCAGTGGTTGTGTCGAGTAAGTACTTCAGTGTCATAGCATCTGTTCAAAATGTTAAAATGATCTAGTAAGATTTTCAAAAGTCTAATGCCAAGCATAGTAAGGCGATAAAAGCCAAGAGAGATGTTAATATGCTCTGTGTTTATAGAGAGTGAAATTGTAAATTTAATTATCTTTTTTTCCCAGTTGTACATTTGGTTATTCTGGCTTAAACTGCAATGAATGTGAGTATACAGTACAGTATGTTTGAATATGAATGAAAGAAAAAAAAACACAAGATGATATTAAAGTGAATCAGTTATGCCTCATCATAAGGGACTTAATAACTTAAAGTTCCTGTGAGAAACTTTCAGTTTGTGTTGATTTTGGCGCCCCTTGTGGACAGAGCAGTATGTCTAATCTCTATGTTGATATTGTCCTGTACACGAGTGTCTATTTTATTCCAAAAAAGTCATCCTAATTTATTTTAACAGTCAAATTTCTCACTCATTCTGTACATTTTCTGTAGATAACATAAAACAATGCTTTTTCTTCAGCGTGCTGTCAATTTTCCTGTCTGACACCTACCCTGTGTCAGCAGTTTCAGGCATTAAAAGTTACAATATAAGAAAAATAACCCCTGTCACGTATCGTTTTGTTTGTTTTTGGAGCACATAAAGTGACATCAGTATTAATTTCAGTTTCTTTCATCACCAGCTATAATTTCCATATAGGAGCTTTGAGCTTTCCAAATGTAACTTTCTCCTGACATTCCCTAAAAAAAAATCATGCTCATATGCAAAACCTGGCAAATGAAATATACGATCTTGTTGAAATATTTCAACTTATAAAATATCAAAATTGTCAAATTTGATCACATTAGAAGTGAAGGTTTATAATTGCTGTTAAAGACTTTTGCTCCTTTAGAACAAAGATGTTTAACATGAAAATCCTGGACTGCACGAGTCCTTAATATACAATTTTCCTCCGTCTGTGAATTATTTTTACTTCATGTAAATTGTGTTTTATATTTCTAATCAGTATTTCAATGTAGGTCACATGGTTTCTACACTAATATACCTGAATAAAGGGAAGGTCATTTATCTACAAGTCTTCTTTGACTTTTAAAATAAACTCTCTTAAACTCTTTTGAGACCACTACAAATATTTAATGTGTAAAATAGAATGTCATATAAAACTTGGATCTCCTTCTTATGGGTTCTTTTTTAAACAGTTAACAGATTAAAAGTAATTATTGAGTCTCTTTATTACAATTACAAGAGCAAACCAGACCATCAGTGACATGATCAACTCGATCAACAAAATGACTTTTGATGCCTTAAACCACTGAAGCCAGCCAGACAAAGTGAATAACTCCCAAAACAGCTTTCATTTACATTTAACTCTTGATTAGTGATACATTTGGCTGTTAAAAGAGAGCAGGATGAGATTATTTTGAACCTGGCAAAGCCATGTTATTGATCTCCTTGTCTTGTGTTGTTTTAGCATGGAAACTTGCGCTGGTAGTCGTGTCTGTTGTTGTAGGACCGATGCTCATCTCAGGCATGGGTGTATTGGCACGCAGGTACGTTTTCCATCTACTCATTAAACAATTTGTCATTACTTTTTCGTCTCTGTCATGTTTTTGTCATATTCTCTCTTCTTCATGCAAGTCATTAACCTTTTAACGCCTATGCTAACGCCGCAGTGGCAGCCTGAGACGTTTGATCAACATGTAGATGACTCCGAGCAGCAGCCGGCAAAACCTGGTCCCTAATGGGAAGAACGCGGTTAGTATAGCCTTTTTCAGAAATGCACAAAACTCCTAAAAATGTCACAAAGTTTTTGGATTGATATGCATTTGCAAACGTAAACGACCAAATCTTTCACCCTAACAGCTCTCTTGTACATTTTGTTACAAGAAGTTGGGGGTTACGCGACGTGAAAACACAGCAGGTCAAATTTAGGAAAATTAATTTGGAGCATGTGAGAGCTGTGGCCCTGGGCCTTATAGTACATCTAAGCAATCCCCGCTCCTGAACATTTTGACATTTTCAGGAGCCTACGTGTAAAAAGTTATTTTGCCTCTGTTTGTGTTGGATATTGGTCGGTTAATATTTGTTTTGCACTTTACTAATCAAAACAAAATATACTCCTTTCATTGTAGCGGCTCTATGATGACCCTGACGACATGAAGCCATACACACAGGCTCGACCCCAGAACAACCCCTACGCCCAGGCTCGACCCCAGAACAACCCGTACGCCCAGATTCGCCTCCAGAACAACCCGTACTCCGCCAAGGAGGGGTACACCAACCCTTACGTCACCAATGACAATGGAAGACGGTTATATTAAAAAGGGTTGTTCAACCATCCCAAATAACACAATCTCTTTAATTCCTCATTATGGCATTATGTATACAGAAGCATGAATTAGATGTCCTTTCACCACAATGACTCGCAGAGTTTGAATGTAACTGTGATCAATTATAAGCTTCCAACAGTCATTTCAATTGTTTCCATAACACATCTACTGAACATCTGAAACTTTGGGATTTGGAAAAATGCAGGCCTATTCTGCATTACAGGGGCCCCGCAGGGGACAGTTCTCTCCCCTTTTCTCTTCACCCTGTACACCTCTGACTTCTGCTACAACTCTGGGAGCTGCCACCTGCAGAAGTTCTCAGATGACACAGCCATCGTGGGGTGTGTGTCTAAGGGGAGCGAACAGGAATACAGGCAGGTCATCATGGACTTTGTCGACTGGAGTGAGCTCAACCACCTTCAGCTCAACGCCAGCAAGACAAAGGAGATGGTGATTGACTTCCACAGGAAGTCACCCCAGACTACACCGGTGAACATCCAGGGTTTGGACATCGAGAGGGTGGAGATGTACAAATACCTGGGTGTTCACCTCAACAACAAACTGGACTGGTCACACAACACAGACGTCCTGTACAAGAAGGGCCAAAGTTGACTTCACCTGCTGAGGCGACTGAGGTCCTTTGGAATGTGCAGGACTCTGCTACGGACTTTTTATGACACTGTGGTGGCGTCTGCACTTTTCTTTGCAGTGGTCTGCTGGGGAGGAGGGAGAACAGAGAGAGACAGAAAGAGACTGAACAGACTGGTCAGGAGGGCCAGTTCTGTCTTGGACTGTCCTCTGGACTCTGTAGAGGAGGTGGGTGAGAGGAGGATGTTAGTGAAGCTGACATCTATCATGGACAACCCCTCTCACCCCCTGCATGACACTGTGGGGGCCCTGAGCAGCTCCTTCAGCAGCAGACCGCAGGTCGTTCATCCCATCTGCCGTCAGACTGTTTAATCAGACTGTTTAACAGCATCACCACCTCATGCTACACACTGTGTGTGTTTTTTAATAACAAGTTACTGTGTAATTTTACATTATTGTATTTTTTTAATTTAAATGATGTAAATATGTTTGATCTGTTTTTAACTTTTATTTTAATTTTTTATAATTATATTCCCGTCCCCTGTTTTCTGGAGCTGCTGTAATGCACAAATTTCCCCCACGGGGGATCAATAAAGTTTATCTATCTATCTATCTATCTGTCTGTCTGTTTGTGTAAAAAGTTTATTATATTAAAAATGTTTGTTCTTCTTTTTTATATTACTATAGAGATATATATATAGTGTCAATTTTCATTTTGATTGATACTTAAGTATTATTCAACACCAATAAAATAAAGTTATAAGAAATATTTGATGGCTTATTATACTGCCTTCATGTTATACATTTCTTATATAAGATAGTCATGTACGGATGTATTGATCAAACATCAATATTTCAATTTAATGTATTTAATCAATAAATATGTCTTATTAATGTGAAAGCATCAGTGATTATTTGAATAAATTACTATCTCCATTATTGAGCAACTTGTCTCAATATGTATTATTATTATTATTATTATTATTAATAAATAATAATAATAATAGCATTATTATTATCATTATTATTATTATTATTATTATTATTATAAGTATTATTATTATCATTATTATTATTATTATTATTATTATTATTATTATAAGTATTAGTATTTTTTTTATTATTAGTCAAATATGTTACCCTGCCCCAATCTGTCTATTTGATTGAAGAGTGAAGTGTGTCTTCTTTGTTGCTACCACTGGAGGGCGCTAACTTAAACTGTAAAATGGTTCAGAGGAATGAGTAAAGGGTCGCTTTATGTTTATAAGTCTACATCATGAAAGAGTCTATAAACCTGATATCTTTCATTTCATGAAAAAACAGAAAACATCTTTTTAATTAATAAATTATTACTGGGGTTTCTATTTTGGACCACTGTGCTTTTGAGAACAAGAGTTTATATTCACAGTGTTCCAATGAAAAGAAGAGACATTGAGTAAAGTTGAGGTGATGTGTGACTAAATGCCCTTCAACCTGCTGCATCAGAGTAACACTACAGCAACCAACAACAATAACATGTTGTTTGAATGTTACATCTGAAATGTTCAACTTGTTGAATGTCTGACAATTTGTTTTAGGGATGAGGATAAAACTGACTGCAAAGAATTTTCATTATGGCCTTTACTCTTGCAGCACTTCCAATAAACAAGCAAAGCAGTTTTACTTTGGCAAGGTCACACAGGCCATAAAGAGATAAGTAGAAACTACTAATAAGGATTCTCAATATAATGTCTCAGATACGTGGCAATGGTTTGATACTAGCATACCGCATATAGTATTTCTAAATTTATAACAGCATCACTGTCCCCCTTAAACACATATGTAGCAGTTGTGAATAACATCTTGAACTAAAACAATGCATGTTGAATCAAATCAAAGATGAATCCTTTCGCATTTACAAATGTATTTACAAAAAAATAAAATAATACTAGTATTAAAATGATAGCAGGAATATTGTATTTGGCAGCAATTAATTTACAGCAAGTCAAATATGCAAAGCATGCTAAATGTTTCCAGAGCTTAAAACAATAAAACATTTGGATATAAATGGTTATCTAAGAAGTCTTTAACAAAGCAGCACTGATGGGAAACTGGTGAAAAACCTGCATTAGGTTGTCAAATAAAAAATGCAGGTCACTTGTGTGGAATTTCTAATCAAGACAAAATAATAAAACAATATTGTCTTGGTTTCAGAGAAAGACAGTTTGACCTTCCAGCTACATTGTTACACATAAATGAGTGGTTACTTTTTCTTGCTGATGTAGACAACATAGCAAAAGGTGAAAGTTAATCTTAGATGAGTTTTATGTAAAAGAGCGAGCCATAAAAAGCTGTAATCCTCCCTGTCACATTGTTGGTCTGCTGGTTTCTCCATGGTCATACATCTCAATCCCAAAGTCAGTGTCTGTCTGAGAGCTCATTTGGATAAGCAGGCTCAGATTTAGCATGAGCGTACAAAATTTGTCGAACTAAAATTAATTATGGGCCTTAACGGTCTCCACCTTCTATGTCTTCTACTGCTGTCTCAAGGGATTCAACTTACTCAAGGTATGTGCTTATTCTTGATTTCACATTCAAATGTTTTTTTTCTTTACTTAAAACTTTGTTGAACTACGTATTGAGAGTGGAATAAGAGTATAACAATTTTTAAAATAATGTGTTTTCCAACCATTATAGTGCTATTTCAAACACAATATGTGCTTTTAAAGGTTTAAATAATAACAAATAGGTAGATATAGACTTTCTGAGATATAGTATAAGGGTTCATGCAAATGTGGCAAATGAGTATTTTGACACTCATTTTAAATAAATAGTTACAATGGTGTACATTATAAAAACAATTAAGCAATCACTGGAAATTAAAATCCATTTAAAAAGTGTGCTCAAGAATGAAATGTAATTATTTATTGTGCAGAAAGTAATGGTATAAGTATTGCTATTTCAAAGTCTTTGATTACCGCTGTTATAGAAACATTACATTTACAGTACCTTAACTCATTTTTTTTCACATTTTAAGTCATAAAAGAAGCTATGAATGCAGAAAGATGGTCTAGATACAAAGCACATCCCTATATGCTTATTCAGACATATACTGTATTGCCAGTGAAGGGTTGTATCCTCCAAGGTCATAAGATTGACTGGGATTTCATGGTGAAGATTTAACTATCGTTTAATAGCCAAATCACATGCTTTAAGGTTCAAATGTTACACAGAGAGTGTCACTACAGGTGTCATAAACTAAGTAACTCATTTGTCAAGGAAACAGTAAAATACACTTTATTTTCAATTACATGGACATCTGACATGTTAAAGTGGCCCCCACACGATTTAAACCACTTTGGAGGTGTGAATGACCTCTTGGACTAAAACAATGAATGTTGAGCTTAATCAAAGTCCCTAAAAGATGAATGCTGATGTATGTTATAATGTACCATTCTGTCTTTGTGTTTGTATTTGTCAGGAAGTTGTGGTAGTACAGAGTTTCAATGCACGAGCGGACAATGCATCGACATAGCTTGGAGATGTGATGGTACTAAAGACTGCACAGATGACTCAGATGAGCTGAACTGTCGTGAGTATTACAACCAATCAGCCGGACAGAAACAATTTTGTGGAAATTTAGAAACTCTATATATGTGTTTTTCTTTGTGTCAGCACCTCAACAATGCACCTCACAAGAATTTAAGTGTGTGACGAGCGGGGAATGCATCTCTTCGGGATTTGTCTGCGATGGAGAGGAAGACTGCTCAGATGGCTCAGATGAACAAAGAACCTGTGGTATGCAGACTGTGCTGTTTAGGCCTGACTGAAAATATGAAACAGTTGTCTTCAGGAAGATGTTATACACTCAAACACTTTGACTTGTCAATGAACAAGTAATGTGATTTTCAAAATCTCAATTCATTTATCCTGGAAATTCGCTCAAAGTGTTAGGTATTTCATTATTTGTGTATCAGATGCTCACAAAATGTTCAGAGTTAAACCACTAGATGGTTTTTGAAATTTTAATTTTAAAATGGAGCATTATCTAAATGATTAAACAAATTGCACACAACATGATGCAATAAATATTTTCTTTTTTTAGAAAACAAATTAATGTAAATCCTAGTTATACTGTTATTTACTACTGACTGTATATGGAAACATTTTTTTAACAGGCAAACACATTATAATCCAAACATGGTCCTTTAATCCTTTGCTGAGGTTAAATTATGCCCTTATAGCACATTAAACATTCCATATAACAAGGATTATGCCCAATAGAGCCATTATATTTAAACAAAACCCACTAAAATGGTTTTTGGTTCAGGTGGGCGGACCTGCAGCCCAGACCAGTTCACTTGTCGGGAAGGCCAGTGTATCACCAGCAAATACAGATGTGACCATGTGAAAGACTGCGTGGACAACTCTGATGAGAACAACTGCAGTAAGAGTTTTTCATTTACAATGGATTCAACAGATTACTAATATAATGGTATTCAGATGTCAGTCCAAGAGTCACAAATCTGTACTTTACTGTCAAATGTTTTTTTTTACTTCTATTTTCTGTAATAA